TCCTCTCGGATACATCATGCCCTCAGTTGTTTTTTCCCCCTTGTTATATTATGTTCTTGTTTCTATAGGCGGGATACCTCCAGTCATTCGTCCAACCGTTCCTTCCATTTGGTACACAGTCTCTTTAGAGCAACTAGTCCAGCAGTTTTGATGAATTGGTTTGAAACTTGGTAGATATTATGATCATAGCCAAAAGGCCAATCATTTAGCTCCCCTAAATGATGATAAGAGTTATTGCCCTTTTCGTCTTTTGGTTACTGGTTTGCATCTTACAATCTCTTTGGAGATAGTTTTTTTTTTTAATAGATTGCCATGACAAATGAAAATAGTATGATCATCACATATACAATGGGAATGCCGACAAATCACGTTATTCTTTAAAATTGACGTTAAAGTTATTGCTTTTTTGTTTCGTAGCTTAGTGCAGTGTATGAAAGTCTCGGTAATGCAAATGTATTCTTACACCATCGCGTTTGATTGTACCCCTCTCCTGATTTTGAAAACAGACGTCATGAAGATGTAAAAATGCAGAAAACTTAGTCAATTAATTCACTCATTTATAAGTTCTGACTTAATTGTTTGCAGGGTGTCCAAAATACTATCAATTTGTTGGCATTTCAAACCAAACGGGTGTTTCATTACCATAACGGTCGCCATATTTGCTTAAGATGTTTTCAAGCAACCGATGTGACGTAGCTCACCATCTTTTAAAATTTAAATAATTCCGTAAATTTCTCGATTTACATCTCTTTGAACACATGTATGAAAGAGATCTGCTATTTCTTTGTTCAACTGATTTAGAAATATTAAAATTAGACACTGCAAATATTGGACGACGAAGTTTTTACTAAAATAGAAAAATTAGAAATGGAGAACAAGCACACTGTTTCTTTGCATAAGTAGCTTCCGTTTCCGTTGAAACGCCAATAATACAAACGAGTTAGGGACCCCTTGGCGACGATCAGGTTAGAAATCATAAATCAATGAATCAATTGTCTAAGTTTTGTCTATTTTTATATCCTTGATGATTTTCGTTTTTAAAATCGGTCGTGGGTGGGGACAAGCAAACTGGAGGACGTGTTAATACTACAGTAACATATTTTTTGATGGAATGCCACTAATATTGGTACTTATTATGACCATTATCTGACATATAGACAAGTCATTGTACTCTTTTGATTTTGTTAGAAGATTTATTGTCCTTTTTGGCTTTAAGTTTAGTGCAATGTAAGACATAGTTCTGTGAATGAAAATTACTCTGGTATTTTTCTCCTACACTGTTGTGAAAGATGTACTCTTGCAGTTTTTGCTACACTTCTGAAATTGGTATTCTTGCAGTTTTTACTTCACTGTTGTAAAAAACATATTCTTTGGTTTTAATTACGCTGTTGTGAACAAATATTACACTGATTTTTGTCCGGAGATATGTATGTTTACCAATCATTCTACTCGTACAATTTTCAAAGCTAATTACTCGTATCCATCATTTAGTATTTGGTGGGATGTTGGGATATATTTCCTTGAGTCAATTGTGTCATCTAGTTATGTTTTTAGGTAGTCGTCATCGTCTCTACAGTTGTTATTTCGATATACAAGTTCAGAAAAAGACTTTGACGTATTATTGTTTCGCTAAGCAATGTTATTATTATCTTCTGAAAAATTAGATTGGAAATATATAAATCAAAGATAAGTATTCATAGGGAAAATACCTACTGATAAAAAATGAAAAGGTCCACGATTCAGAATTTTAAATTTTGATAGTGAAATTCAGGCTATTTTTCACAGCCATCTTTTATACAAGTCATTGTGCGCTTTAGTCCTTTCACTTGCAGTCATATGTCTTACCGTCCTAGTCACAACTATCATTACTCCAGTTATCACGAACATTTAGCGATGACTGATATATCTGATGATCTATTAATAGCAACTACGAAATTTCAATCCAGTACCTCATCTTTGCGACCTCTCCGGTAGCATCAGTGGTAAGAGCGTCCGCCTCGCAAGTGGAAAGTCTAACCCCCGCTGAGCCATACGAAAGACTTAAAAATGATACAAGCAGCTGCCTCGCTAAGCGCTCAGCAATAAGATGTAAGTGTTAGGACTGTCGGCCTGGTATCAGGATAACGTGACTGGGTGGGGCATCATGCTACATGTCTGCGGCAAGATGCCCAGTGCTAGATATCATTATAAACTGACACATATATCTGTGTTTCATGTCGAGCAGTGTGTGTGTGTGTGTGTGTGTGTGTGTGTTTCTTGTCGAGCAGTGTTTGGGGGGTGTATTGTCGAGCAGTGAAATTAGAGACATAACACAATCATTTATAGCTGGAAATAGTTTTCAATGTGCAACAATCGCTTTGTTTCAATTATTTGGACTGATCAATCGAACTTATCAATGATTAAATAATAAATTCATAATTTAAATAAATGCTTCTCGATCGTAGTTTACTAGAATGTTACTTTGTAATTTTAAGTCGCTCATTTAAATTGGTTTACTTGCTAACAGCTCCAGCATAAATGATGTAACTAACATTAACGATTGGGAATTTGTGACACTTTTCTTGCGACGGTTGATGCTGATACTGTTGATTGGTTCCTTTGCATTCCAGAAATTCTTGACGTTTTACTTTCATCAAACTCTTTTTTTCCTTTCAGATCTTAATTTGTGATCTAAAGACGTTGCTTCCGGTTCGACGGATTTGATGGATCACATGACCTCAAATCGAACTAGCTATTAAAGTAACTAAACGACAGAAAGGAAATGAACGTGGAGCACAGATAATATTTCCTGACAGGGGAAAAGCAACGATTCACAGAATTTCCCTAGTCAACACAGCTGACAGTTTATCTTGGAAATTAGAGTCATTTGTGTGCATTGTATTGCCTGTAGAAATTTAGTTATCTGAATCTGTCTGGATTTGGGCCAAGGTTTCTGTGACACAGATGTCAGTTTCAGGATCTTTTCACGTATAAGTAGACTGAATTATTTATTGAACTCTGTATATTAATTTTCCAGACAGAATAATTATTGTATATAGACCAAAAGAGGCACTAATAAAAAGACATTTTGTAGCGCTAAGTACCTTTTTACCGTCTAGCTGAAAGTGTAGACATGAAGCTATCATGTATGTACCCTCTATGAAATATAATTTATATAGAACAAAATTCTTTTCCTGGCGCTGAAACGTAAGCAGACGAAATTATATATTCAGTGGATTCATGACCTGAGGCATAGATCTGCAATAAAGACGGATGGAGGAAGGTGTTGTATTGAATTCTTGAATATTGCTGACATTTGTCCTGCCAATATTCGTAGCTCCTTCGGAGAGGAAAGACGAATTCGTCAGTTGTATTGACAAGATATTGTTTAACCAATGTATAGCGGATTTATGTCACCAAATAGCATACGCCATATAAATCCTAATTCTTAATGGCATTTTTGGTAGAAAAGTGATCCAAGATTGATCTACTAATCAGTCAAAGAGTCACAGTATCTTAAGGTATCTCTCTCTCTCTCTCTCTCTCTCTCTCTCTCTCTCTCTCTCTCTCTCTCTCTCTCTCTCTCTCTCTCTCTCTCTCTCTCTCTCTCTCTCTCTCTCTCTCTCTCTCTCTCTCTCTCTCTCTCTCTCTCTCTCTTACACACACACACACACACACAACACACACACACACACACACAAATTCTTGGACACATCTACACCTGCAATGACGTAACTACGCTGACAATAGTTCCCCAGCCTGCCTGCCTTACATATGGTACTCGAACTAGTTACACCTCTTTCAGTCCGCTCATCTGTTTGTCCGTCCGTTCAAAGATTATCAGTAATAGCATACATTAGAAAGGACTATTAATTATGATTAAGCTTTAAACCGTGTCTGTTGTTATCTGTATAATGCTTGCTACAATTTCCAGCTACAAGCGCGTTTATACGCGACTTTGCTCTTTGTTGTCATGCACGCTCTCCTGTACTCGAGATGTCACTTTGGTGATTCTATTTCATTTACTCTACTTCTGTCTAAAGTTATTGTTTGATACCTCCTTTTCTTTCTTATAACATGACCCAGTTTAATCAATCGAGCAACAAGCAACATTTTGCCTATTTTGCTTGTGTTTTGTACTTTGTTTACGTTTTGACCACAATTCACTTTTTCCTTTTCATTTTCGTAACTACATCATGTGTGCGACGCAAGAAGAACGACCCGGCATATCGTTTTAATGTAGAGTTATAACATTGCCGTCAGATATATAAAACATAAAGTCTGCGCTACAATGGAAAAGAGAATAACTAGATTTATGATGTATCAGAAGAATACAGTCAAAGTCCTGATTTGTTTTAAAGTCTTGTAGTATTTTACGTACTTGGTCATACCTAACGGACAAATAAGTATTGATTTTACGTGCACAATGCCTCCAAATCAATACGTAAAATGTTGGGGATTTCTGTTTAAATTTTGATGAATAATTATTATTCTCTTAAGAGATCAATTGCGCAGTTCAAGGTAGCCTCAGAAAAGTGCTTTATACATGCTTTTAACATTATTAATGCATTCTTATTCGAATAATATTGAAACAACAAAAAAATGTACGAGTTTTCATCTTTATGGATTTGTTGGATGCTAGAGGTTTATTTCAGTTCGAAGATGATACATCTTTGTTTCGTACTTAGATTTGCTTTCCTACATATACCATACTTCGCCGTTAAGAGGTGACAATCGTTATGTTCCATCCGATCTGAGAGGATTTTGGGAGCAGGTCATGACAGATTTGTATGATTGGGATAATTAGCGTAGCTGTACCCATTTTGCAGTCATATCTTTACAATGTATGCAGTGTGGTAGTTTATAGTGATGTCTAGCACTGGGGCATCATGCAGCAAACATGTAGCATGATGTCCCACACAGTCACGTTATCCTGACATCAGGCCGACTTGTTCCAACCTCTTAATGCTGAGCGCCAATCGAGGCAACTGTTAGTACCATTTTTTGTATGTTTTTGGTAAGACTCGGCTTGGGTTTGAACCTACGATCTCCCACATCCAAGACGGACGCTCTAACCACTAGGCCACAGGAGCGGTCCCTGATAGATTTAATACAGTGTAGAAATAGGGAACAATAACTAAAATTTCAAAGCAACGTATTCAAAATGTGCAGCGTATCTCAAACGATAAACTATACACCGTGTTGCCAGACATTACGTCCTTTATGGGTAGTTGGTATTTGTAAGCATTATCTATATGCTTTAAGGTTATACTTGGCACATTTTAAACACATAATCTGTCCAACATCTACATCATTTTTCTTTCGAATTCGTTTTCTTAGTTGAGCATTTCGTCTAAGTCTTTCAGTCTTTGGATTGTCTCGAACTATGTAAGAAAAATTATGTGTGTTTCTTTCTGCATAGTCGTGGATATTTTTTTAGGCGGGGTGTTGTTTTGGGAGATTTTTTGTCAGTATGTTTTTCCTCCTCCGAACCGTTCAGCTCACATCTAGTAATTGCTTCCGTGTGGATAATATCGCTGTCATGTGCCTTTGCTAGACTTTCTAGGGTCAAAATAATGGGTATTGATTTGGACTGATCGGTATTGATTTGTACTACTGTTTTCGGTAGACAGTTGAATTGTTTTGTGTCGTTTAATATGGATACTTTTATTAGAAACTGACAAGAGGGACCAAATAAAATAAAGTCAAATATAAATAAAAAGAGTAATACTACTACAAATTTTAAATTATTATGCTTGTATTTCCCTTGCATGTATTTTTTAATGGTTAATATCTGACGAAAATTATTGTTATAACCCTTGCGAAGGGAAGACTGATTTACGTTTGTGTGCTTTTTGTAATGGCATATTCGTGTAATAGCTCTTCTTCTTCATGCTTGACTGCACAAACTCTTTGATCTTGATATTGCATGCATGAATGCATGCGTACCGCAGCTGTTAAAAAAGAGAAAAGAAAAATAATTGGCAACCTCGTGTCTTAAATTGCTTCTAAAAATAGCAACCATCTTGAAAAGGTAACTTTAGCAAGAAGCATAATCTAATGATCACGATTCATATAAAGTATATTTGCTAACAAAAAAATAAGTAAATGACTTTTATTGAATAACAACGAGACCGACTCGATTTTCACAAGAAGATTCTTTTTATTAAAACCTTTTAGTATATTTAACAAGATGTCGACATAGAAAGAAAAGTTTGTCTTCCGTTTAATATTACCCAGCATTTAAGAATTCTGCCAGCATTTAAGAATTCTGCCAGATCCGTTCGCCACATTTAATCAAATACAGCAAATACCTGAATAATGATATTGATTGTTAAATAAGCTTACCAGGACTAATTATCAATTACAGAAAGAGGTCAATATACTGGAGTCAGCAGCTTAATAAAATGGAATGACTCCAGCCCAAAGTCATTGCATACAATTATATATTTATATATTTATTTCATTGCCGGAAGTGATATCACACATTTTAAAGATCTAAATTATTTATGTACTTTATTTGAATGTCCCCTTTTTTAAAAAACATTTAGGGATACAAAGCTTTGAAGGGTTTTGGGGTTAAAAATTGACTTATTTTTTTTTATGTAAATTGCAAATAAGGACGGGGAATTTTTTTTACCCAGTGTACCATCAAGAAGATTGTCGCGGTAAGTTATGGAGGTCATGTTGGATTCGGATAGTCGAGCTCTCTCACATACTTCGACAGTAGTTTGGCTCTTATTTATCGATTTCTAATCTATTTCTTATCTTCAGGAGAAGATACTTTTTTATTTCAAGTAAAACTACAACACAAACGGAACTCACCCACACATTTTAATCTGACATGTGACTTACCAGTGAGAGAAGCATTTTTATGTCAGGCATCAAACCTTTCGCTCAGCAAAACTATCTGTAACAGAAAAACATTTTAGAAATTCCACAACGCTCTCGTGCCATCTGTGACGAGTTCCATTTGATTGAGACGGGCATTGGAAAGTCGCTGAACGATTGTGATGTTTGGTCATTACAGTCGGCACTGTCAGGAGATAATAATTCGTTCCATTTTAGATTTTAAGTGGTTGCTACTCGAAAGGCATTTGCCTCCGAATGTTCGTCGAACACTTTTTTGACCTAGCTGATTTAGACATAAAAAGCACACTTTGATATTCTTCGCAAGAATTTTCAGCTTTTGTTTAAAAGCAATGCCACACTGTTAAATAGAAAAGTATGTTCACATCTTGTGCTAGCTCAAAACCCCATTAATTTTTTTTTCCATTAATTATTTTTGCCTAAGACCCTGTCTTTTGTCAATAGAATATATGACAATGTTCGTGGTATGAGTACCGAAGTTTTGTGAATATATTAATGTATCGAATGTCTTGAAACATCTTCCTCGATAATTTTGTACAACTGACAGTATCGTAGACAATATACAAATTGGATATTATAATATACAAATTGGATATTATATTTGAAATCCACAAGCAGGCTTGTCTTTTGTTTTATTTATTTTATAACATTTTACATTCATCACACCTGGCTTTTCCAGTCTTTATAGATTTTTAAAAAGTCGGAAAACTATACACCTGTGATTTTTTTTTAGAATTTCCTTCAGAGACCCGATATGCATACAATTTATATCTTCTGCTTTCGTTGCCATGTATACCTGAAATAAAGTACTTGTTATCTCCTGCCTAATTTTAAATACAACTAATTTTAACTAAAGGTAATCCTGCTTTTCTTATCATGACTTTTTCCGTCTGTACTTAATAAGGTATAAAAGCTACATACCGGCGATTTCTCAGGATCTCCTTCAAAATTTCATAATCTGTATCCTCTACTTTCGTTCCCATGCAAACCTCAGAGGATTTTTTTATTTCCTGCTTAATTCTACCTGCGACTGTTTTATACTTTGTCTACTTTTAATATCGTGTAGGGGCCCCCGAGTGGCCAAGTGGTCTAAAGTGCTCTCCGTTACGGATCACTGCCATCTCACCTGTCTGCATGGGTTCGAGTCTAAGATTCAGCGTAGCTTCTCGTGGGTCGGTGGTTCTTTCCGCGGATTTCCCGGTTTCTTCCTCCACTATTAATACTGGCCACCATGTATAGCCTATCTTGTACTGAGAAATGGCGTTTAGCCCCAGAACAACAACAACAACAACAACAAATTAATATCGTGCAATGTGTACGATACAGACCATACAGAGGTAGTGTTCAATTTCTTGACGAAATGCATGCAATGTATGATTTGCTTGCATACAAAGGGATGCATTGCTTGCACGGTCTGCGTGTCCATGTCTGCATAAAAATACTTATCTAGGCTACTTCTTGAATCAAGACTTTTCTCTCTTTGCATTGCATACTTTCTCGTAAACTTTGATAATCTTTGTTGTCAACGGTTCACCTTCGCTAAAGGATACAGGACTGGACTCGTGTCGCTTTAGAATCTGAGGTTATTGTCAGTCTGTTTCCCAGGTTGACGTTCCCTACAACAGTCGCATGTAATAACAAGAAACAGTTTATGCTTTAGGGATAGGCATAAATATACCTACAACCTTCCCAGCAGAGACCTTCTGTCATATTTTTTTTCTCTCGCTACCCATCCACCTATCATCTGTCAGTCAGACAGGCATTGTTGTTTTTTCTTTTCTTTAGAATATGATTCGCCTTCTCTTGCAATAAATAGAGGATATTTACGGTCCTTTTAAGTAGATATGAGGAAATATTGCACGATTGAATTTCACGACTGAAATATGTCTTTACTAAAAAATAAGACTATTTTTATTATATATTTTAAGGCAACACTAGTCAATTTTTAGGCAAAACCAGCCAATTTTTATAGGTTTTATTTTGCGCCAGTACGATAACCGGGTTCAAACTGTGTATCTTGTCATATTTTGTATTTTCGTCAGTACCTTTTTTTAGCGGATTTATAAAGTGATCATCGATGACAAGCAGTACTGTGTAGCAAAATCACAGAGCGGCCGTATATGACAAATTTAGACGCGTTAACCTCTTTAATGAAGAGTTTTGAATGATTGTAAGTTTACTGGTAAGGATTTGTGTTCTTTGAATTTTTTTAAAATTTCTGCATTCAAACGTGAATATTTGTGTAGCTTTGGCAAGCTTGCAGCATAGTTCCGTAACAGATGATGCACCAGACTTTCTATTGCTCTTTCGGTTTTACTTTCGGTTTTACTTTCGGTTTAAACAAAATATTTTCATGACTGTGATTTTGCTTGTAAGGATTTCAGTTTATTATTCTGTTTATTCCGGCACTCAAACGTGCTGTTAGAGCTCTCACCAAAGGAACTAAAAAATTTTTAGGATGCCCAATTAGTCCCCAATTAATTTGTTGCCAGTATGAAATATAATATGGCCGCCACACAGCGAACATCTTAAACATCTTGATACTTGATACTCCTCCTGAGCGGATAATCGTATGATAATGAAATTTTCACTCAAAGACTTCTTATGGTGTCTACATGGGTTTGAATGAAAATGATGCCGATATGAAAGCGAACCCCACAGCGGTCTTCTAGACAAACCATTTGTGGTTACTTCTCCAAAACAGAAAGTCCTGTTGAATGGTTTCACAAAAAAACTTCTTATGATACCTATTTGGGCCTAAGTGAAAAGGTGCTGATCCGGGGTCTAATATTGATTCCACACGGGCAAAAGGTGCTGATCCGGGGTCTAATATTGCTTCAACACAGGCAAAAGGTGCTGATCCGGGGTCTAATATTGCTTCCACGCGGGCAAACGACGGTGCTGATCCGAGGTCTAATATTGCTTCCGCACGGACCAGCTTGAAAATGTTGATATAACTAATTCTACTGAATTAACTTTCATATCATATTGGGGTTTTCACTGAAAGACTTTTGTTTGGTTGGTCTATAATTACAGTGGTGATGGTCTGAAGTCCAGTATAAGAGCATGTTAAAAAATCTTTCTTTAATTGTTTCTTTTAAGGGAAAATTTATTTTGGTTTTTTATTAGAAGAATTCTCATGTTGTGCGATTGATCGTAAATGAAAACGACTAAATATCAATATGGCCATGGCGGTGGCTGCGTTGCAATATTTTTATCACTA